ACAAACACAATTTATCCAATAGTACAAATTAAGAATTCTCAATTTGTTTCAAATAAATAAATAATAAATTAATAAATTTCTGTTATAATACAATTGTGTGTTTGTGTAGAATATATAATATATATGTATCTGTAATATATAATTATATTATAATTATAAAACAAACGAAATATACATTATATGATAATACAGATAAATGTATGAATATAATAACTTGCTAACATTTTAATCAGCACCAACTAAAAGTAACAATAATGTTACCTTTTAATTTGTATTAATTGGATTATAATAAAAGAATTTTATGTTATGTTATGTTTTAATTCATTAATTTTTATCACAAAATAATCTTCACGAAGAGATAAAAGAAGTTAAATTGAATAATCGCGCTTGCTGTTACAACTCGTGCCATTTGTAATAATATGTTTTGATGAGTTCATAGGCATAATGTTCATAATGATTATGTAATTTTTTCTACCTCCATTTTGTAACGGCGGCAACTCCACTTCCACTAATTTTAGATCCGTCGGTTTTGCTTCGTTCACAAAATAATTCACCAATACGTATTTTTTCGCCATCACCATCTTGCTTGATTGTGTTGAACACTTTCGAATCCAAGTGCTCCTCGAGTCTGATCTCGTTGCTGTGATTTCACCGTTAGCTCGAAAGGAATGAGCAATGACAGTCGCGATAAAGCGATAATGACTCCACGGCAGCTTTCGTCGTATTGTTTTGAACATAATCTCTTCACGATATTTATATTCGTATATAAATCATTTAACACTTACTTTATCAGGTAGATTCTAAACTTCGTTTTAAAGGGGGAACGAGGAAAAGTTAGAACCTGTTATCAAGTGATTTGAAAACCGTTTGAATTATCATACTTTACATCAATAAATAAGCACTAAGACAAAAATGTCGAACAGAATTATTATCACATTAACAGAATACGATTAAGAATTAATTTATCCAAATTATCTTTATTTTCGTCAAAATTGCAGTAGTTGGTTATGTAATACACCACTCCTTACAAGTATGTCACATTCATTGGACAAAAATTCTTGCCAATTAGAACTTAAATGTATATATGAAAGTGGATAAAAAGTGTATATAAAGTGCTCCAAAAGTGCTTCGCAACTCAAAATTCTATAACAAGAAAGATTTCAAAAAATTAAGTGAAAAAGTTTATAAATTTTTATTTTAAACAATTGAGATTTATATGTATGTATGTATATGTATATATATATATATAT